CCATCTAAAAAAATATTGATGTAATTTGCAAACCCAAATTTCTATTTTTTAAAAATGGCTTAAATTTAATGATTTCTGTTAAATTTCGTTAAATAATTACTCTTAAACACTAATAGAAAATTAATGGTAAACATTAAATTTTAGTCAATTTCTTAAAAATAAAAATTTAGGGTGGCAAATTGCATTAACAGTTTTTATGAGAATTTATTTTAATGTGATAATTTTAAAAAATAATTTACACTTTTTACTCTCTTTTTTTTTTATTTGTTTAAGTGGTCTCAATTGTTTGAAGATAAGATTCCTGCCCATCTATTCTTGAATCTTGATGGACGGCCAAAAAAAGGGAGAATAAGCGAGTCCATTTTCTTTTCGCCTTTTCTGGTCTTGTGGCCCTAGTGTATCCAAATTCTGGTCCGGTTCAATTTTCTGGACCATGATGACGATGCTATGTAACCAAAGCCCAAATCAAGTGTTGGGGAAAAATGTTCGATTGGGCTTAATCAATGAAACAAAAGCCCATCTTGAGTAGGATCGGGCCGTCTTCACACAGCATCCAAACGGCATCGTTAACGGCGCATCGGCGTCTGTCTTCCGTTATTAGTTCGTCACACTATCGCTGTTTCCTTGTGTCAGCCGTCACAAAAAAGCAACCGGAATTCTCTTTTCTCTCGCTTTCTCGGAGATGTGTTTGGTTCCTGAGAAAATTCCTCGATTCGATCATACATGATCGGTAAATCTTCATTGTTTATCTGATTATCTCTTCATCTCTTCTTCTGAATTTGGAACTAATCAACTTATTTTTGTTTTTAGATATGAGTTTCCTCAAAGGCATAATTGACTCCTTAGGCTCGATCTTCACCGTCGACGACTCAGCGTATGCATCTGAGCAAAAACCTAGCTCATCCGCTTCGCGGAGCATGGAAGGTATAGCTGGAAACGAACGCACCGCCTATAAGCTCAAGGGATACTTCGATTTGGCAAAAGAAGAGATCGCGAAGGCCATTCGAGCGGAAGAGTGGGGACTGGTTGACGATGCTATTGTTCACTACAAAAATGCTCATCGGATACTGATCGAAGCCAGTTCTACTAGTGTACCTTCATACATAAGCTCTAGGTATTAACAAAATTACCTTCGTTTGTTGATTATGCTGAATTGGATGATATGATTCAGCGTATGATATTGATGATCGAGTTTTGCAACAGAGAACAGGAAAAGGTTAAATCATATAGGCAGAAGATATTGAAATGGCAAGGCCAAATTTCTGAGAGATTACAGGTTTTAAGCCGGAGAGCAGGTTAGTATGAGATATTAGCATAGATATACAGTTCAAACGAGCTGCATTCTTTAAACTGAGAAGATTTCTTCATTTTACTGATTTTCTTCACATTCTTATCTTCTCATTCAGGTGGCACCAGCACTAGCACTAGCACCAGCACCAGCACTAGCACTAGCACTAGCACCAGCACCAGCACTAGCACTAGCACTAGCACCAGCACCAGCACTAGCAGTGGAATCAGCACATCCATGAATAAGGTATAGTCTTGTCTAAGGTGCAGCATGGAACTATGTAGTTGGTAATATCAGATTATGGTCAGTAACAATGGGAAGGATTTAGATAATAACAATGAATTTAATTTTCTATGATGCTAGATTGTCTCCACCTTTTTTATTGAATCTATGATTAATATCACCGAAAGTGCTACATTAATTATTTATTACACAAATTGTCACTCTGCCACTAATTCAATTGTCTTTATTTCTTTAATTTTTCATAGAGAGACATCCTTCATTATTTTATTGAATCAAAGTACATAAGCGAGAATTGGTGTAAATATAGGAAAATTAAGCTTTGATCTTGGTCAATTGATGATGTTTTCATGCAAGCCTCATGACACACGGTCATTTACAGGTTAATCATGCAAAAGTGGACTCCCACATTGGTTATAATTATGGAACTTCATTACCTTTTTTATCAGCACTTCATTACTTATTTTGACATTGCTATTGTCTTTAATCTTCTGCTAGCTCCTTTTTTCTTTTCTTCCCAATGAAAGGTTTCTGCAGTTGTTACTCATTAGTGATGATTTACTTATCTTCTTGTTATTATAAATATATAATATTTGCAGCAGAACACCTTAACACGTGCACCAACTGCTGCAGTTTCACGGCCAACAGCATCAAATTCTAGGAGAGATTTGCCGCAGAAGCCTGCTCATGTTCCATTAACAAGGAATCAGACAAATAAAGTTGTAAGCTCAAAACCCAGACATGAGAATGCCAATGGCTATGAATCAAAATTGGTTGAAATGATAAATACAGCAATAGTGGATAGAAGCCCTTCTGTTAAATGGGAGGATGTTGGTGAGACACATACTTCTCATTCTTCTTTGTTTTCTCTTCTTTCTTTCTTTTTTCTTTCTTTTTTTTGCTCTATCTCTTGCTCTTTTTCTGCCCTGCATTACATCTATAGACTTACCTATCTCAGTAATTTGCAGCTGGCCTTGAGAAGGCAAAGCAAACCTTAATGGAAATGGTTATTCTGCCAACTAAAAGAAGAGATTTGTTCACTGGTCTTAGGAGGCCACCTAGAGGTAAGGTGAAGTCTTTTGCATCCAGGAAGATAACAATGCAGCAATTTGATTTATGATCAAAATGTCTGGACTTTGTCTTTTAGGGCTGCTTCTCTTTGGGCCACCTGGTAATGGCAAGACCATGCTTGCCAAAGCAGTTGCCTCAGAATCAGAGGCAACATTCTTCAATGTTTCTGCATCTTCCCTGACATCAAAATGGGTTTGTCCCCATCCTTTGGGTTACTCATGCCCTTTAAAGCTTCTTTTCTGTTTATATGGTGGTACCTTAGGTTTCTTCTTTGTCTTGAGGATGAGCCACTGATCAATTTTATTTATAACAACTTAGGTGGGAGAAGGTGAAAAGCTTGTCCGGACTCTCTTCATGGTTGCTATATCCAGACAGCCGTCTGTAATTTTCATGGATGAAGTATGTTTTTCTTTTCCCAAACTCCCACTGCTTGGTGGATACGTTTCATCATACTAGATCGGATTTGTTGCCTTTGGAATCATAGTATTTTCCAGTATCTTTTTCTCTGGCTAAACACT